CTTTCCTCCATCTCTCTCCAACTTTTCTTCTCCCATACTGTTGAGGATTGGACTTGAAAAGTTCGGACTTCATGACTCCATAGGACTCTTCTCCACTGACCTTAACTCCAGCCTTTGCATACCTCAGCCTTTTCTCCTTGTGGTTTCTTGGCTGTCGTCCTTCCACAAAGGCCATTCCTGATCTGCCTTTGTTGGACTGTGAAAGAACCAACCTGGCATTCAGATGAAGCTGATAGATGCTGAGACAGGTCCTTGCTGGATTTCCTCCAGTCTCTCAATGAAGAAACTCTGAGAAACCTCTCATCAGATTTTGACAGTTTTCTTGGTCTTCTGCTCCTGTTTTTGTCCATGACATCTCAAGATTCTTCATATTTATTTAGAACAGCTCCTCATCTTTAGTATCTAGTTTGTTTGCTGATTCTTTTGGAGATATTTTTGCTTTTTAATACTGTGCACATTTCCTGTGCCTGGGATCTCTCCGGGTACTCCGGCTTCCCCCCACAGTCCAAAGACATACAACCTAGGTTAACTGGTGACTCTAAATTGCCCTTAGGAGTGAGTGTGGGTGTGTGTGGTTGTCTGTTTCTTAGTGTCAGCCCTGCGATAGACTAGCAAATTGTCCTCCCCACAAGACCCTGTTCAGGTTAAGCAGTCTAGATAATGGATTGGATTAGATACTGTGTACGTTTTTCCTACAAACAAAGAATACCGGTTTTAGAGAGTGACTGGTTCAGAGCCCCACTGCAAACACCTTATGAGTTACTAAGTGACTGCTTGGATGTTAAAAATGTAACAGCATTTGTCACCCTGCTGTATGTTAAATATTACTTCTGCTTGATGTTTGTCCAGACGAGCTGCTAAAACTCCGGGAGCTCAACGAGTTGGTAACCTGGATAATTAGTGTGCGGTGTTTTATAAGAGTGCTTAAGAATGCAATGTTTAGTCTGATACAATTATTGGAATACATTAAAACAGTATGGTACATGCCAATCAGCACATTGTAATTTGTACATTTCAGTAAGGAGAGGAAACACAGCAGGAGGTCAGGCAAAAAGTGTCTCTGAAAAACTGAGTCATGAGCTGTAAAACAGGACTTAAATATTAAGCATGGAAAACACTTTGGCACCATTAAAGTGCTGATGTAAGATAATCATTAGTCTGTTCATTCTCTAATCCCCTCTTCTCTTGTTTCACAGGATGAGGCCACCAAATCAGGAGCGAAGACCAAAAGGCCAAAACACAAGAAGACAAAATGAATTTCAAAATGATAATAAAAACCTGGCTTTTATTCAGAAACATTTTTAGTGAGGAAGTTGTCAACTAATTTAGATGTATCTTAACAGAGACAAACCACATTGCTTTGCAATTTACAAATAATCTATTGAAAACAACTACGGCATTAAAATGTCTTCTAGGAAGTTTGAGTAGTTATTTCAGGTGATAACTTTAACAGGACTTTATATTGCACCATTTTGACTGAGAGGCCTTGAAATGTAATGTTTACAGTTCAATGTGCTTTGATTAAAACATTCAGACCATGAGGATTTGTGCACCAAGCAAGACCTTGATATCAGAATAAAACCGTTTCCTTACATCTATCAGTCTCACACTAGTTTTATTGATCCATTTTATCAGGACATGACATAATCACAGCCCTGAATGAATGTTTTATTCAGGAAAAGACAAATTACAGCACATGTTTTTGCACCATTAATCTCAAACTGTAGTTCTTCTTTCTATCTTGATGTTGATAAAATCCTCATCCTTGTAATTGCAAATTCAGCTTCCAGCCAAATTTGCATCTGAATGAAATTCATACACAATTCATTCAGTGTTTCCAGATCAGATATCACAGCTCAACAAAATGAAGGTCTCAGAGTTTCCCTGGCATAAACACCCTCACACAGACTCATGTATTTCACATCCATTTTCCTCAAGGCACTTGACATCTACTTGAAGCCTGCTAACATGGAGCGTTTACCTCACATGGGCTCTTTTTGGATTTTGCCTCACCTTTTCTGTTTTGGTTTCACTTGATCTCTGGAAAGACACAGTGTGCATATTAACCACTCAAGGGTCAGCTTTAGGCAGCAGACGACTACTTTCTAAGAATATATCCAGGACTCTTCTGTGCACTTGGCAGTTTGGGTTACTCTTATCTGTGTTCAGTATCTTAAGGGAATAAAACTGAGAGCATGGATAAAGCCATTTCTTTTGAGTGATAACACAACAGGGTGAGATTCATCAGATTTCCTTTATGTATGTGCACAAAGCTCCTTGTTCATTCCAGTCTTTTAGAATAATTACAGCTATGTCATTTAGCAGTTGTTTCTCCCTGACAAGATGTCATCACACTGAACCTGCCATCTCAGCCCCTAATCATTTTTTTTTAGAGATTTGTGGAGAACTAAGGAATGAAATCACACTCCAGGCTGAGGAGAATAATGAGCCCACTTAGATTTTATATTCCATCCACACAGTATGCTGTATATGGTAAAATAAGAAATCAAGAAATTAAAACTGATTGAACCCATTATAAAATATTATTTCATCATATAGTATTTGCATTTTTATCCGTTGCAGAAATCATTAAGAATTGGTTTTTAATTACCTAATGGCATTTTCCCAAGAGTTCCTAATTCATGTTACGTTTCATTTCATGTCACGTTTCATGTCAGTGGCGATGTCACCGCCTCCTCACCTTTCAGCCAATCACAGGGCCCCTTAAGGTGCCCATATATTCAGTAAAATAGACTTGCACTTAAATTACACCTGTCAATTTGTCTGAGTAGCCAAATTCTGAGTTGGTAAATCATTCCCTTAAAAACACCACAATGAACAAAGAAAAAAAAAGTAGTGGCCAGTACATGGCACTGAATACGTTTAACATTATATAAGGTGTAGTGAATGAACAAGGGGGTGATTTTAGACACAGCCAGAGTCTGTGAGTCTGGTGTCAGTCTAACTAAGAGGATCTACCAGACAGTTAAGGTGTAATTTGTTGAAATCTGGGTTAGTGAAATTGTTGACAAGGCAGTGCACTGTCATGAAAATGGCATTATTAATTAAGATGTGAGATGAAATTAAAAATATAATTTGGGCCGTCTGTGGCTCAGGAGGTAGAGCGGTCATCCCCCAACCAGAAGGTCATCGGTTTGATTCCTGCTCTCTCTAGTTCACATGCTGAAGTGCCATTGGGCAGGACACTGAACCCCAAGTTGCTCCAGATGGACAGCTCTGCCACTGGAGTGTGTGTGTGTGAGGTGGTGCCGCAGATGGCTGCCTTGGTTCTGTACCGGAGACAAATCCTTGCATGTAACATACTTGGCCAAAAAAGGTCATTATGAAATAAATACTAACTTTGGAAAACTATTTCCAAAAATAAAAATTATGAAATAACATTTAATAAAGATAGTATTAAGGATTCTTAGTTTCATTGTTTATATGTTTTTTTTAATCAACCCTAGACCTAAACATAGTTATAACTCATTTGAAAGTCTCACCCTGAGTCTCTCACACCCAAACTGGAAAACTCAAAAGCCAGTTCTATTTGTTATTGTATACCATCTACCTGCTCCTTATTCAGAGTTTTTAAGTGAATTCTCAGACTTTGTCTGATTTAGTGCTTAGTACAGATAAAATAATCATAGTAGGCGACTTTAATATTCATGTAGATGCCGACAATGACAGCCTTAACAATGCATTCTGTTCATTATTAGACTCAGTTGGCTTCTCTCAAACTGTAAATAAACCCACTCACTGTTTTAATCACACTCTTGATCTGGTTCTGACATATGGCATCAAAACTGAACACTTAATAGTTTTTCCTCAAAACCCTCTTCTGTCTGACCATTGTCTAATAAATGTTGAGTTTACATTAATGGATTATACTCTATGTGGGAAACAATTCCACTACAG